CTACAATTTTCGAAGATGTAGTAGAGAAAACAGAATTCAAATTCCAGGAGATAGAAAAGATTCTCCAACTTCACTTACTAGCAGAGGCTGCTATTACCAACCTTTTTAAAGAGTTTGCTCCCTAAATCATAAACGTGCACAAATCATAGCATTTTAAGTATTTCGTTTTTTTTTTCTTACTGCAAATATGAAAATGTCAATAACTATTTCGTGGCTTAATGATAATGTAAAAGTCAGTATATGTATAAAATGTTCATTTTATACATATACTTTATACATACACATATAAGTCCTTGTCTCCATTTATAATATCTATATGTATACTATATAAACATGTTCATATATAATATGTGGAACATGAGACTAATATTTTAGTTTAATATATGTAAATATATATACATATATTATAAATGGAGACAAGAACTTTTAACATATATTATTTTATATCTTATATGATATATATTATTTTAAATGTATATATCTATATACTTTTTATATATTATTTAAAAACCACACCTACACTAGCCATTGAATATAAAAGAGACTAATATTTTAGTTCTTTTATGTTTGCCATGTGTCCTAGGCTTACCATTTACAATTTTAGGTTCTATGTGAAATCTTACCAACTTGTAAACAGGCCAAGATTCAAAAGTACAATACAGTATTCATGTGTTCAACACTCCTCTGAATAGATGTGGACAAACATTTCCACTCCTTTCAGCAGCTTATGTATGTAACTGATTGAAAGCTGAAAACAGGAGATTTTAGAGCTTTGTCACCTGTAGTTGAAGTGCATTATTGCCTGTAGAGCATTTCCTCCACCAGTTGAAATGTCTCCTTCAAACCCTGGCAGAAGTGGTATCACAACATATACCCGGTATCTCTTGCTTTCCCTGCAAAGGTCAGATACAGAAAGATTCACACATACACGTACACACACATACAAAAGTACATACAGTAACAGTTTAACATGACAGCCAAGTAGTTCACATGGGCTTAGAGATTGAGTGAATGGCTCCCTACAATATATTCTATCACATTTCAGGGCTTTGGAGTACTACTACATTGGAGCCAGAAGCTATTTTCCAGGCTAATAGTTCATAACAACCTGAACTTGGTAGTAATGTGGGGATTGTCCCCTATCTCTCTTTACAGTATTATCCTTCCTAGGGCAAAATTCATTGTAAGAAAGCCTTGCTTATATGCCATGGAAGGTGAAGGGGTTACAATAAAGTTTTTGAAAAGACTTAATCATAATAGTTTTATGTCTAACAAGTTACATCCATTGTACCTAGATCAGAGCCTGGCAAATGGTAGGCAATCAGTTAATAGTTGCTGAATAAAGGAATTTTCACAATCTAGGGAAAAAAAGACATACTGGACTCAGTATACCTTCCAATGCAGAAATCATCATTGTTTAGAAACTCTGGTTCAGAAGCAAAATGTTACCCTGGGCCCTTCAAGAATTCTGAGTGACTGATGGTTTTTAAACCCCTGCATAAATATAACACAAGATTTTTTTGGCCTACTCTCCCAACTGATTAACAGCACCCTCTGAGAGAAAAGCCTCTGAGTAGCCTTTGAGTACTCTGTAACGGAACACATGGTAAACATGCGGCTCCTTACTCTGATCTGCATTCAGAAAGCTGGAAATTTGGAGAACTATGTTCGAATAGATATCGCCTGTTTGGAGACAAAGCTGTTACAAGTCCTTGTCTCCGTTTAGAAGATACGCAGGAAGAGAAGAAAGCCTGCAAATGACAGTGGTACTCACTGTGGTGAGAACCCCAGCCATATATTTGAGAGGTTTATATTCACACAGAGGTGCTGCTACTGGCTAATTTTCAAATCAGATCCTACTTAAACTTTTCATAATACTTAATTTCTAAAGTTCCTTTTCTTCTAAACAGCTACATTTTTCTTTCATGCGAATGTTACTACTCTCCGAAGCGTCAGATTTCATTATTGATGTCTCTAAATGCCAGTGTACGTATAGGACATGTGGAAAGTGAAGTTCAGGGCAGAAGCAACAGCCAACAGGACTCTGGGGGCTTGTTGCCCTTAACTGCAGTGCTGAGAAACAACGAATTTGAAGTAGGTTGTTGTAATGGCATGGATTAATCACTAGATGGCAAACATAGTTTGAGGTGGAAAATAAACCATTTAAAAAATGCAAACTGTTATAGTTGTCTACCTGATAAGGGTAAGAGGCTCGCATTCCTAAATAGTAAACCAGCTTCAGTATGACCCTCAGACCCACTGTCCCTTTGCGCAGGGGTGCACCTCCCTACCAAGGAGGGTTGGCGCATCTGCTCTCTGAGTCCGGGATGCCGTTTTCCACCTCTCAGGATGCCACTCCTCCTTCCAGGACAAATGCTCCTTCTGCGGTCAAGCCATCCTGGATTTTCCAGTCAAAAGTGGTCTGCTCCTGCCTCTGTGCTCCCATGGCACAATGCTGGGTAGTTTACTCATGCCCTTTTGGCTTTAGATTCAGTAGCGACACACACGTCTGCTGCCTAGGCTATGTGATAAGTGCTTTTGAAACACAGAACGTATGTCCACATGCCTTTCTGTTTTTGGCAGTGCCCAATAAAGGATCCTTGCACATGGTCTGCACTCGGCAGTATTTAGTTTGGGAGGATGAGGTCAGGTTGGAAGAATGTTTCTAAGAGGGCTCTAGTAGAGAAGAGGTTAAGCTGCACAGGATGTTTTTGTTTTTTGTTTTTTGTTTTAATTAAATTACATTTTATTTAAATGTTTTATTGTGGTAAAATATATGTATAACACAAAATTTGCCATTTTAACCATTCTTAAGTGTACCATCCAGTGATATTAATTACACTCACATGTTGTGCAACCATCATATCTATTTCCAAAATGTTTCCATGACCCCAAACAGAAACTCTGTGATAATTAAGCAATAATTCCTGTTTAGCCTCTAATTTACTCTCTGTCTCTATGAATTTGCCTATTCTAGAGAGTTCACCTAAATGGAATCATTTGTCCTTTTGTGTCTGACTTATTTCACTTAAAATAATGTCCTCATTATTTATGTTGTAGCATGTGTCAGAATTTCCTTCCTTCTTATGGCTAACTAATATTCCACTGTATGCAGAGACCATGTTTTGTTTGTCCAGTCAGTTGCTGATGGGCATTTGGTTGTTTCCCCCTTTCGGCTGGCTACTGTGAATAATGCCGTGACGAACGTTGGCATACAGTGTCTGTATCCCCGGTTTTAGTCCTTTTGGGTGCACACCCAGGAATGGCATTGCTGGGCTATACAGTTATTCTACGTTTAGCTTTTTAAGGAACCACAAAATAAATTACATTTTCCAGTGGATAATATGTGCTCAGAGTATAAAATTTAAGAGTGGTGTAAGATTATATAAAAAAATCCTTTCACTCCTTTGTCTGCAGCTCCATCTTCCTTTCTCAAAAGCAACTCTATATTGCCTTCTATATTCTTTCAAAACAGTCTATGAATTTATAAGCATACATATGTATTCTTTCCTTCTACACAAATACTAGAATGCTAGAAACAATTTTCTGAATGTTATTTTTATCATTTACCAGTGTATCCTGGAAATTCTTTGAACATAGAGAGTTGCCTATTTTTTTTTAACAACAGCAACATGGTATTCCACCATACATTTGTACTATAATAGTTAAACCAGTTCTCTATTAAAACATTTCTAATTTTTTACTATTTCAAAGTAACTATTTTGCTATGTATGCTGACCCACATAAGTCATTTTTCACATTTGTTGAAAGAATCTTAGAAGTGGTATTGCTGGTCTTGAACACCAGTGTTTGTGATTCTGTTTGTAAAATACAGTTCCCTTTCATCCCTGTGTTTTATAAAAGTAAAAATGACTTCAAAATGTAGACTTCATATTAAGATATAGAGAAATGTCCTATAATCAGAAGGGTCACTTAGTAAATTATATAAATGTCTAACCACTATGCCGAACATCTGAAACTAATATAAAATAATATTGAATGTCAACTGTAATCGAAAAAAAAATTTTTTAAAGAAAAATGTCCTATAAAAATCCTATAGCTTTAGACAAAACACTCTTGTAAATTTACTTTTATAGGAATCAGAATATTCACATTTTCTTGTTCTTGGGACTTTGTTGGCTCCATATCAAGGCCTTTGCTTTTTCACAATGCACTCGTTCTTGAATTTCCTGAATGATGAAAATTTTAAACTGTGTTCAGCAAATTAGCAGAAACGACTTAGATTTTCGCTGCTGCAGAAAAAAGGGCTCTAGAATTTCAAAACATAAAATCAAGTTAAGTTTAAGCCAATAAAGAGAAAATTCTATTCAAGAGTATGTCCAATCTCCTTCTTTGATCCCATCCACAGAACACAACAGTTGCTAGCTGCTGAGGATTCTAATCTCTTCTGAAACATTGCACCCTCAGAACATTGGGGTGGTACTAATGATAGCAATCAGCGTAGGGCAAGAACCGGATGGAGCCTCTAATGAACCGGAGCCCCTAATGTGCAGAATTATTTATGATCCTAAAAGCCAGATAAGAGTTAGTGGGCAGCGAGCCATTATGCAAGCAATGGCTCCATCCACTTAAGTTCAAACAATTTTGTAAAACTGAATTCTAGGCTTTTTGTTAAAATAAGTTTTTCTTTCGAAACTCACTAACTCTTATAACAGTGCTATGTATGACATCTAAAAATTGGAAATAAATGTCCAATAATAGGGGAATGGTTCACAAAATTATGCTACAGCCATTCAATGGATATAACTTTTGCAGCCACTAAAAATGACCGCTATGATGACTTACTAGCAAAATACTCTGATGCTGTGTTAAAATGGTCCCAATGTAAAGTTACATTTACAAGACAATTACAGATGTGGCAGGCTGAAACTATGATATGTTAAGTAATTTTCCCCTTAAATGTGTTAACTTCCTCCACTCTGTGACATGAAGCGGGCATTGCTCCTAGGGTGGCACTATCACAAAGGAACCAGGGCACAAAGAAACGAGGGCTTCTTAGATTTGGGGAACTAGATAAAAATTTTTTGAGCTGAGGTGGGAGTATAAAGAAATAAAAATGAGACTCAGTGCAGGGACTCTTCCCCTTTCCCTTCAAGCAGAATTCCAAGGAAAACAGGACTGACTCCATCACCTTTCAAACATGAGGATACGGGGGCGATGAGGATCTGAGCCTTATTTCTAGAGGAACCCCAGGGAAACTTCCTCCAGCCCCTGTGAAGGCAGGGTTGAAAGAAGGCTGAGGCCTCAAGATACAGTAGGCAGATGTCAGAACAGGCCTGAGATAGATCAATGCTCAGAGCTAAAAGTCCCTTCCCAAAGATACGAGGCCCCTTAGCATCTATACCAAAAATAGGGTGTGTGTCACCTTGACTGGCTGAATACAGAGCAGAAATAACCAGAAACACTGAATTTGGCCACATTTATCGGGAAGTGACTAAACTAAATTTCCTTCTATTGTACTGAAATGGGACTTGAGACAAATTCAGGTAAGTTACAGGAAAAGGAAATAAGTTACAATTCAATAGAATATATAAGTATATATATTAATATGAACAAAAAAGGAAATAGCAAAATAAAAAGCAAAATTTTAGGGTGATAATGAGATTTTTAACATCTTTAAGATTTGTGATTGCCGTAACGCTCTTCGTACCTTTAAAAACAGTACTAATTCACTACGTAGATGGGCTGCAGCGGTGGCTTTCCTCTACTTTGTTTCCTTCCTTTTTCTCCTCTCCTGTAAAACCCCCTCCTCCTGCACCCCTTGGTCCATCCTCAGCATGGAGGCAATCGGGAGAAGCGGGGTCTGCTCAGAGCAGGGTCTCAGGATCTGCACAAAGGTTCCAAAGGAGGTCATTGTGCTTCTCCAGTGACA